CAGACACAACATGGGGGGATAACTGGGTTGAGAGACGGATGCTTCTTGCATGGGATGATGAAGTGAAGATGATTCTCCCTCTTTCCTTCCTCTATCAGGGCAAACACAACTGCTGCGAACACCGCTGGTACCAATTATAACGAGTTTGTTTGGTGTTCTGGTAGCGGGTGGATAAAGATACGTCTTCGGAGGCTTCTTCGTTTATTGAAAGGTTGTGGTGGGTACACAGGCTTGTGTGTTTGTCCCCATGGCCCGGGCAGGGCCATCCCACGAGAGAGAGCTGGGAGGCCTTGTGTGTTGCTGCTAGGCCGCTGTGTGAGTGAGGGTGAGGCAAGTCTGGGTATACTGAAGTGGCAAGGCCTATAGGTGGCAGCACCAGCATGGCGCGAAATATGAACTAAGCTGGCAGACAGCATGGGCTGTCTGTGCAGACAGTACAGGCTGTCTACATAAATAATGATCCGATATATCAGTTGCCCCTCTATAAATGTGTACATCCTGGAGCCTACCCATCAACCTTTTATCCACCAATACATAATCTAACAAGCTGCTTTCATTATGTGCTATATCATACCTTGTATATTTATTTATCCTCTTTTTCATAAAATATGTCTTACATATTACCAAACCTCTTTCTACACATAGCTCAATTAAAGGTTCCCCATTTTCATTTACCCCTGGCACCCCAGATTTACCTACTACTGTCTCCACAACATTTTTGCCCACTTTATCATTGAAATCCCCAACCACCATTATCTCACACTTGGTCTAAAACTCCCCACACATTCACTCAATATTTCCCAAAATCTCTCTCCTCTCTACACTTCTGTCTTCTGCAGGTGCATATACGCTTACTATAACCCACTTTTCACATCCAACCTTTATTTTACTCCACACAATCCTTGAATTAATACATTTATAGTCCCTCTTTTTCTGCCATAACTTATCCTTCAACATTATTGCTACTCCTTCTTTAGCTCTAACTCTATTTGAAACCCCTGACCTAATCCCATTTATTCCTCTCCACTGAAACTCTCCCACTCCCTTCAGCTTTGTTTCACTTAAAGCCAGGACATCCAGCTTCTTCTCATTCATAACATCCACAATCATCTCTTTCTTATCATTTGCACAACATCCACGCACATTCAGACATGTACATGTATGTGTAGTGTGACCTAAGTGTAAGTAGAAGTAGCAAGACGTACCTGTAATATTTATGAGACAGACAAAAGACACCAGCAATCCTACCATCATGTAAAACAATTACAGGCTTTCGTTTCACACTCACTTGGCAGAACGGTAGTACCTCCCTGGGTGGTTGCTGTCTACCAACCTACTACATTAAAAATTTTTTATATTAAAGTCCAGGTTTTATTCCCTGGACCTCAGCAATGAGAGTCGCTTCTCTCTCCGCTGGGCAATGGTGACAATTATAATTATTATTATAATTATTACAATTATTATTATTATTATTATTATTATTAATGTGGCATCCTCGAGACATAAGACACACTTACTGATTTTAATGTGTACCTGCATGCCAACACTGTGTGTAAGTTTACTTAGGTACAGATACACATAAGTATAATTATCAGAGTACACGTGTATGTATATAAAATATGAAATAACTTTAAAACACTTGAAATTTTTGAAAGTTTCCAGACATAATGGAGAGACGCGGAGCTCACAGGGAATGTAAACAAACCGGGTGGGGTGTGGTGACTGTATTAGAAAGACAGGTGGGGGAGAGCCATATAGCGAGTTTTGGTCATAATTTGAAATGTCCATATTAGCGGAACACCGTAAAGCGGGTCCCTACTGTTTATCAAGTATTCGTGCAGGAACTTTGTTACTTCAGTGAAGTGAAATACATAATGTTTAGTTCAAATGTTAATCTGTTTGGAAACATCTGGACCGTAGTTTAACACATTGGCCATATCTCAGCAAAGTAGGGTGACCTGAAGGGCAAACATGTTCACCATCATTTTCTGTAGCTGTCTTTCCAGGTATATATGGACATCACAGTTCGAATGAACCAATGAACTGCAGCATCCCCACCCATCCTTCAGAATGCAGGCACTATACTAACTGCCTCCAGTATTCAAATCTGGCTTCTAAGTTTCCCCGAAATTTTCCTTTATGGTACCTTGCTTAAACCCCATCAACACATCAGATTTGAAAAAACCTGTGTTCACCGACTCTGATCTAACATGCACATACACACCTGCTGAATGTTCAATCCCATCCTCCTCCCAACCCTTCCTGCAGTGTTCCATACACCTCCTTCCATCCACCTTGGAATAAATTTATTATTTATTATCACACTGGCCGATTCCCACCAGGGCAGGGTGGCCCGAAAAAGAAAAACTTTCACCATCATTCACTCCATCACTGTCTTGCCAGAAGGGTGCTTTACACTACAGTTTTTAAACTGCAACATTAACACCCCTCCTTCAGAGTGCAGGCACTGTACTTCCCATCTCCAGGACTCAAGTCTGGCCTGCCGGTTTCCCTGAACCCCTTCATAAATGTTACTTTGCTCACACTCCAACAGCACGTCAAGTATTAAAAACCATTTGTCTCCATTCACTCCTAAACAAACACGCTCACGCATGCCTGCTGGAAGTCCAAGCCCCCCGCACACAAAACCTCCTTTACCCCCTCTCTCCAACCTTTCCTAGGGGCCCAACCCCTACCGCCTTCCTTCCACTACAGACTGATACACTCTTGAAGTCATTTTTTTCGCTCCATTCCTCACATGTCCGACCACCTCAACAACCCCTTTCCTCGCCCTCTGGACAACAGTTTTGGTAATCCGCACCCCCTCCTAACTTCCAAACTACGAATTCTCTGCATTATATTCACACCACACATTGCCCTCAGACATGACATCTCCACTGCCTCCAGCCTTTCCTCGCTGCAACATTCATCACCCATGCCTCACACCCATATAAGAGCGTTGGTAAAACTATACTCTCATACATTTTCCCCCCTTTGCCTCCAAGGACAAAGTTCTTTGTCTCCACAGACTCCTAAGTGCACCACTCACTCTTTTCCCTCTCAATTTTGGTTCACCTCATCTTTCATAGACCCATCCGCTGGGCACGTCCACTCCCAAATATCTGAATACATTCACCCCCTCCATACTCTCTCCCTCCAATCTGATATTCAAACTTTCATCACCTAATCTTTTTGTTATTTCCCCATACCTTACTCTTTCCTGTATTCACTTTAATTTTCTTCTTTTGCAACCCTACCAAATTCATCCCCCAATTTTCTGCAACTTCTCTTCAGAATCTCAAGAGCACGTGTCTCAGCAAAGAGCAGCTGTGACAACTCCACTTTGTGTGTGATTCTTTATCTTTTAACTCCACGCCTCTTGCCAAGGGCCTCGCATTACTTCTCTTACAACCCCATCTATAAATATATTAAACAACCACGGTGACATCACACATCCTTGTCTAAGGCCTACTTTTACTGGGAAAAAAATTTTCCCTCTTTCCTACATACTCTAACTTGGGGCCTCACTATCCTCGTAAAAACTCTTCACTGCTTTCAGTAACTACCTCCTACACCATACACTTGCAAAAATCTGCCACATTGCCCCCTTATCCACCTGTCATACGCCTTTTCCAAATCCATAAATGCCACAAAGACCTCTTTAGCCTTATCTAAATACTGTTCACTTATATGTTTCACTGTAAACACCTGGTCCACACACCCCTACCTTTCCTAAACCTCCTTGTTCATCTGCCCATCCTATTCTCCGTCTTACTCTTAATTCTTTCAATAATAACTCTACCATACCTTTACCAGGTATATCAGCAGATTATTCCCCTATAATTTTTGCACTCTCTTTTATCCCTTTGCCTTTATACAAAGGAACTATGCATGCTCTTGCCAAAACCCTAGGTACCTTACCCTCTTCCATACATTTATTAATAATTGCACCAACCACTCCAAAAACTATATCCCCCCCTGCTTTTAACATTTCTATCTTTATTTCCCCTCAATCCCGGCTCCTTACCCCCTTTCATTTTACCTACTGCCTCCGAACTTCCCCCACACTCACAACTGGCTCTTCCTCACTCCTACAAGTGTTATTCCTCCTTGTCCTATAACGAAAATCACAGCTTCCCTATCTTCATCAACATTTAACAATTCCTCAAAATATTCCCTCCATCTTTCCCAATACCTCTAACTCTCCATTTAATAACTCTCCTCTCCTATTTTTAACTGACAAATCCATTTGTTCTCTAGGCTTTCTTAACTTGTTAATCTCACTCCAAAATTTTTCTTATTTTCAACAAAATTTGTTGATAACATCTCACCCACTCTCTCATTTTTCTCTCTTTTTACATTGCTTCACCACTCTCTTAACCTCTCTCTTTTTCTCATTATACTCTTCCTTTCCCTTTCATCACTTTACTTTGTAAAAACTTCTCATATGCTAACTTTTTCTCCCTTACTACTCTTTTACATTCATTCCACCAATCGCTCCTCTTCCCTCCGCAACCCACTTTCCTGTAACCCCAACTTCTGCTGAACACTCTAACACTACATTTTTAAACCTACCCATACCTCTTCAACCCCATTGCCTATGCTCTCATTAGCCCATTATCCCTTTCCCAAAAGCTGTTTATATCTTACCCTAACTGCCTCCTCTTTTAGTTTATAAACCTTCACCTCTCTCTTCCCTGATACTTCTATTCTCCTTGTATCCCATCTACCTTTTACTCTCAGTGTAGCTACAACTAGAAAGTGATCTGATATATCTGTGGCCCCTCTATAAACATGTACATCCTGAAGTCTACTCAACAGTCTTTTATCTACCAATACATAATCCAACAAACTACTGTTATTTCACCCTACATCATATCTTGTATACTTATTTATCCTCTTTTTCTTAAAATATGTATTACCTATAACTAAACCCCTTTCTATACGTAATTGTGTATAAGACGTGTTCTTGTCTTTTATTATATTTCTTTAATTTTGCAGGGCGGGTGTAGATGAGGGCATTGACTGGCTGGTGGAATGCATCAAGAGGAACAGTGATGTTAGACCCTCACTCAACCATGATGACACCTGATTCATTATCTTTGTAGGTTTCCAGAGCTATATTTTAAGAAAGCTGCACTTGGGTTGGTAAAGGTTTTTTATTATGGGGAGCTTAAAAGGACAATAGTGTGTTCTGTTATGAGTGAAGAAATTTTTTTTTTTTTTTTTGAGAGCATAATTTTAGAATTAACATGGATTTAATAAAATGAGAAGAAAAATTCTGTTTATTTTGTGATACACTCTTAAGTTTAAATTTAGTGAATGAATCTTCTGCAATAAACATATTGCCATAATTTTATTAATACTATCAGTTGGTAATATGAGCCGTCATCAGCAGTATAATAAAATGATGAATATATTATTTTTTTGAAATTACCTTACAGAAAAACACACACACACCAACACACACATACATACATACATACATACATACATACATACATACATACATATATGGATTTAATAATTATGTTAGAGGATATAATTTTCTGCATGTATTATACCTAAAAGTAGTAGTGGTAGTAATTCTTTATTTGTTCAATAGTAATAATAATAATAATAATTTTGAAACTTCAAAGTAAGAAAATTAACGTATATACAGTGGACCCCCGGTTTACGATCAGCTCCCAATGCGACCAATTATGTAAGTGTATTTATGTAAGTGCGTTTGTATGTGTATGTTTGGGGGTCTGAAATGGACTAATCTAATTCACAATATTCCTTATGGGAACAAATTCGGTCAGTACTGGCACCTGAACATACTTCTGGAATGAAATAATATTGTAAACCGGGGGTCCACTGTATTATGTGAGAGCAGTGTTATGGAGTTTCATGGTGAATCAGCATCTCGCAAGTATTAGCAGAAATGATCAACAACGCTGCTATTTTTAGTATGCATGATAATTTTACACTTTGTTAAACTTCTACTGTTATTTGTATGCATATTGTAACCTAAAATTTCAACTATGTCAAAAAGTTCCTCAGACTTCTAAGCTGTAACAAGTTTTCTTACAGATATTCTCACACCCACCCCTTGCTTACCACCTGTTCCCTGCAACCCCTTCCCTGGCACCCCTCCCCACCACCCCTTCACCACCACCTGCTCCCTGTGACCCTGTCCCCAACACCCCTTCCCAATACCCCTTCCCTCCTCCCCTTCCCCAACACCTCTTCCCTCCCACCTTTTCCCAACCACCCATTCCCACCACCCCTTCTCCGACATTCTTCCCCAAACACCCCTTCCCCAGCATCCCTTCCCCAACACCCCTTCCCCAACACCCCTTTCCCCAACACCCCTTCCCCAACACCCCTTCCCCAACACCCAACACACTTTCCCAACCATCTTTGGAGCTCACATGGATCCTTGTCCTTAATGTAATTTTGTCCTTCTTTATCTGATTCTTTCACAGACATGTCACTCTATTATTAGTCTCTAATGCTTCAGCATCACCAGAAAAGCATTACAGAATGATCAATGCATTGTGAGAGGCTTAAGTTTTTTTTTTTTTTTTTTTTTACCCTATGTGGGATCTCTATATTACCTTACTTAAAGCTACACGTATGACTTAAGTGTGCCAGTTGTGTCACCTTGTAATCTCCTCTGCACCTGTGGATTTGAAACATGCTTGGTTTGAGGCAGAGGCATCGCTAGGGTTGGTGTCACCCGGGGTGGAATCTTTAGTGTCACCTGGGGTGGCATCTTTGGTGTCACCCCATGAAATCCAAGGGTGGGGACATATGGGGAGTAAACTCCAGTTACATCACTGCTGCATGCCCAGTGACTAATGTTTAGCAATGAGAATGTTTAAGGGCCATAAACTGAGCTTTATTAATGGTAAAATAAATAATCGTAGTAATATTGAGGAAACGAACTCAAATACCACTTTGAGTATAGGCAACAGATCCTACATTTATTCAACTTCAACAATGAAAAAAAAAAAACTTTAAAAATAAAGAAAAAACACTAGTTCCGATTTGACCTTGAGTATAGGTAATATCTCAGTGAATCTGATATTTCAGTTCTTTGTCTTCAATCCTGCAAAATCATTTATTATATCAAAATCAATGATTTTTCCCTATATAGGCATATTTGCATTCTGTAATCCTATAATAGGCTATGTAGAAACGAAGGATTTTCTCTTACGTTGCTGCAGCATGGTTTTGGTCATTAGTGTTACCTTCTTTAGAGGCTCTATGGTACCACCCCCTAAATGGTGTCACCTGGGGTGGCCCACTCTCCCTTACAGCGCCACTAGTTTGAGGCTTATAATTTGTTCTGACAACTTGCTTGATTTACAACATGTACAATATATCCTTTCTGTATAAACTTTTCTTGGTATACTGGCAGTTAAATTTTACTAATGGCTATTGTATATCAGGTATTTTAATTTTAAGGTTTTCATTGGACCACTAATGTTAATCACATACAAAAACATAAATCTTCACTTCAGTAATGTAAAACTTCTGCATACTGACCTCGGAAAATTTAAAACTAATTTTAGAAGGTAGAAGACAAGCATTGATTATGAAGAGTTACTCTTGGAGGTCTGTATTTTTCTTTTTAACCCAGAATGAATATATTTTTTAAATATTTCACAATATAATCAAAATGATGATTATGTAGTATTTACCCACTAATGTAAGAGGTTTCATCCGAGGGCATGTTAACTCTCATTTTTTCCTTTGTTCGTGTGCGTGCCTGCATATGTGTGTGCGCGTGTGTGCATGTGAGCATGTATACATGCACTGCTCTAATTCTATTACCCAATGCAGCCTTCAAGGGAGGTTTCTTGATGCTGGGGAGAGACTCTTGATCCAAGGAAGTGGACCAGTTCTCCTTTTCCATGAATCAAACCTGATTGCCTCCCATTTCCCCAGGCATTATATGACCCCTATGGGTTTAGCACTTTCTCCTATAATAAAAATCTAATGTAAAATTTTCTTCTTCCTGGAGTTATCTTCATTTTGTTTTCATTAATTTCCTACTTGAATTCAATATAATTAGTAAGTAATTCAGCTTGTACTGCATACTGAAATAACCTTAATAATTATGACAGCCACTACACATTTCTGGTAATTGTGTTCGTGGATGAAGTACAGTGAGAGACTGGCTATCAGAGTTAGTAGTGAGAGACTGGCTGTCAGAACTGGTAGTGAGAGACTGGCTGTCAGAACTAGTAGTGAGAGACTGGCTGTCAGAACTTGTAGTGAGAGACTGGCTGTTGGATCTAGTAGTGAGAAACTGGCTGTCAGAACTAGTAGTAAGAGACTGGCTGTTAGAACTAGTAGTGAGAGATTGGCTGTTGGAACTAGTAGTGAGAAACTGGCTGTCAGAACTAGTAGTAAGAGACTGGCTGGCAGAACTAATAATAATATAATATCTTTATTTCTACAAGTACATGTACAAGGTATACAGGCCTAGCTGACATCGATGACATACTACTACATAGAAAGCCACTTGTTATGCAGAGCATTTTGGGCAAATTAAGTCAGCTTTGTCCCAGGATGCAACACACACCAGTCGACTAACACCCAGGTACCCATTAGTAGTGAGAGACTGGCTGTTGGAACTAGTAGTGAGAGACTGGTTGTTTGAACTTGTAATGAGAGATTGGCTGTCAGACCTAGTAGTGAGAGACTAGCTGCAGGTTAAGGGTACAGTACTAGGTGAGAATAAAATGTTAAATATCACTTCAAGGTATGATCAGAGAAATGCTCTTATTGAACTTTGATTTATTTTCCAGTGTTTCATAATGATAGACCTTTATTAGCCATGTTTTAAAAGATAATCTATAAAAATTTGTCTGTATTTGATATGGGCATTTTTGTGTAATGTGTGACAAATATACTCATGTGTATGTATACAGTTAATGTATTTTAAAATATGTACACATGGTTGAACTAAGAATTGGTAATAAAAAGTTTATAAGTAAATTTTTATTATATTCTTTTTCTCTAATGATGGTTAAATCATTAACAAGTAAAAAATAAAATTACCTCCATTTTAAACATTCAAAAGGGCTTGCATTTTAAAGCAACTAGTTCTTGATCCAAAGAATTGTATTTATCCTCCCTTTCCTTGGATCAAATCTGATTGCCTTCCATTCCATGTGCTGTATAACCATAAGTTAAGTACTCATCCTCTACATATAATAATGATGGCTGTGGAGGTGACTTGCAGCTCAGTGGCAGGGTATATTGGCTCACAACCTAAAGGATTTAGGTTCAATCCAAGGTTGGCCAAGTAGTGATGACAGGTGCTAGACTAGTGCTTAATATTTTGTAAAAAAAAAAAAAAAATCTCATTTGTGTTATGAAAGTGAAACTGAACAATTGCAATTTTGTATCTGTTCCCCTCAAGGAGGTGCCTGGATGCCGGGGAAGGACTCTTGATGCTGTATAAAGAATTGAACCCAGCTTCTCTTTTCTTGACTTGAATCAGAATGCCTCATTCCACTAGGTGCTGTGGTGAAACCTTACAAAAATATGGTATTAAATAATGAATGTATATATTTTAAGGAACATACAGAGTTCTGAATAGCATATAAGTAGCCAAGCTCAAGATGCATGGGAGGAAGACTGGTATGGCAAGCTGAAAATTTAGAGGATTATTATAAAAAAGAACTGCTAAACCACAAGGGTTATACAGTGCAGCAGGGCAGGGAAGGATGCAGGGGGAAATGGGTGGCAAGAAGGAGAGGGATGATTATTAGGGTATGGAGTGCAGTGGGACAATGGATAGTTCAGGGGTAGAAGGTAGCTAGAGATTAAGGTAGAAAGGACAGAGGAGAGTGCTAGAGACATCATCATCAGAGTTTGTGTAGTAAATCAGTTGCTGTCAAAAAGTCAGTGAGAGAGAGTCTGTATTAAAGGAGGATCCATCAGCAAGAAGGGAAGGTAAAGAAAGGGCAGCGGAGTGGAGACAATGTTGGAGGTAAATTCTGCATGCTCGTTGGTAGAGTGGACAATCCAACAGAATGTGGCTAACAGATACTGGAACTTGACAATTCTCACAGAGAGGAACAGGGTGCCTCTCCATGAGATACCCGTGAGTAAGACGAGTGTGGCTGATGTGAAGACGGGAAACAGTAGTCTCCCAACCTCGACACTGATGACAAGAAGACGGCCAGAAACCTATACTCGGTTTAATAGAATGAACTTTGTTATGGAGCAGATCAGACCAATGTTGCCAACAGGTGCGAAGGTGAGTAGCAATTTCAGCAAAATAGTCTGTGAATGGAACACTGCTATATAAAACGGGGAGATCTGTATGCTGCCCCGTACAGCAGTGTTGTCCGTTCTTCCCCTGTACCCACATCCAGGGACCCAGCAAAAAAAAAATATCTTTGTGTTTGTTAGAGATATGATGTAACCAAAGTTGGATGGGAAGAACTAGGGGGTGAGGTGTATCAAATTTTGTATAGCCTGAAAAGCACTAAGGGAGTCTGAAAAAACCCCAAAAAATGGTGAAAAAGGCATGATGTATATGGTAGTGCTACAAGAATGGCATACAATTCCCCATAAAAATGCTACCCAGGAAAAATTTCCCTTGCAAAAAACATCCCCCAGAAACACTGTGCAAATCCGACGCCACAGAAGATTTTAGAACCAACGGTGTACGCTGCAAATGGTGAAATGAGAGGGGAAAGTGGTCAAAAAAAAAGAGGGGGAAGCCCCATGGGGAGTTGGGCTTTGCGCAGGGGCAGTGGGAAAGAACGCACAAACCCGGAACTTCCCAAAGGGGGGGCGGGGAAAATGAGATTCTACATAAACATAAAAAAGGGGGGAAAAGAAGAGAAACGAGTGAAATGGAGGCCGAGAGAAAGGGGGGTAAGCGGGGGCACAAACAAATAAAGAACGTTACTAACATCAGTGAACCCTTTATATGGAAGGATTAGGAGGTCATGAGACGCTAATGCGGGAATGAGCATCACGGTGTTTGGGGCAAAGATGAAATGTTCATTTTGCTAGGGGGTCTCAAAAGGGGGTGAACGAAAGGACCAAGGCACAGAGGAGACCCTTGGGAATGATCGATCTAACCCTTTGAGTTGCGGGGGGAGGCCCCCGAACAGATTTGGCCACCTAATCCGCTTGGACAAAACTTTGGGTGGAAAGCAAACAGAGGGAGTGCGACAATCTGTTCCCATGAATGATGTACAAGAACTTTAAGGAGATTTAGCCTTTCCATGGAAATTGTCTTTAAAGAAGAAATGTGAGGTCTCCCCGTCAGCCCGCGATCAAAAGAGCAGGCCCAAAAACTTGACCGTATCACATGCCCGGGAAAAGTGAATTGTGTAAGTACAAAAGAGTATTGGAATTGAGGATGTTTGGGGGAAAAGGTAAGGAAACCGGGTTTTCGTACTAGAAAAATTTAAAGCTGTGGAATGGGCCCAAAGGGGACTTGGTCTATCACAAACCCAAAAAGGGGGTGCTGCTTTTCCAGTCAGTGCCCAAGTAACTATAGCGAAGTCATCAACATAAAGTGATGACCAAATATGTGAAGAAACAATGGAAGGTAGGTCATTTATAGCCAAGAGAAAAAGAGTAGTGCTGAGGACACAACCTTGTGGAACTCCCTCGTACAAAGTCTGAGGAGAGTGAGTCGCCAATACAGACTCGAAAATGTCTATCGGACAAGAAAGCAGCAATAAAGTTTGGTAGATTACTGTGGAGGCCTAAGGAGTGGGCTTGGGCTAGGATGTTATACCTCCAAGTGGTGTCATATGCCTTCTCTAGATCAAAAACGACCGCTAGGACAGAGTGAGTGTTAGCAAAGGCATTTCGAATATACGTATCCAAGCGGAGCAAGGGGTCTACAGTATAGCGGCCTTTGCGAAAACCATATTGGCGAGGGAAAAGGTTATTGTGTGTCTCTAAGAACCACATCAGACGTCTATTCACCAATCATTCCATCACCTTGCAGACCACACTGGTCAGGGCAATGGGACGATAGTGAGAGGTGTCAAGTCCCGAGGCACCCGGTTTGAGAAACTGTAGTACAATAGCTGATTTCCAGTGTTGAGGGAGAACCCCTCGCTATGGGGAGGGCCATAGAATGGAGACATTGAAGCATATTGATGTGGATATCATCAGGTCCTGGTGCCGATGGCCAGCAAATGGAAAGCATGGACTCCAGTTCTAGAAGAGTAAAAGGTACGTTATACGGCTCCAACCCATCGGAGGAGAAATCTAAGGCAACTGCTCTCTGGTAGGTTTAGATGCAAGAAATGAGGGACAGGTGAAACCCTCGGGAGATACAGACAAGATAGTTCCCAATTGCTGTGGCAACTTCTATGGGTTCCACGACATCATCTCCAACAACCCACAAAATGGGAGCCGGGTCTGGATTGTACTTACCACACAATTTCTGCACCTTTTTCCAAATTGCACACATAGGGGAAGACGAGTTAATGGTAGACATGTAATCTCACCAACAAGTGTGTTTAGCGTTGCGGATGATGTGGCGAGCAACTGCCCTTGCCCGCTTGAAATCCAACAGATGCTCCACGGTACGATTATATCAATAACAGCCCCATGCAACACATTTTAAACACACTGCAGGGGCGCATGTAGGAGACCAAGGTATACATTCCTGAAAATGCCTACCCAAGGTTTTGGGGATAGAACGCATGGCTGCAGTTAGGAATAAGGTCAAAAAGTGGTGTGCCAATTCATCAATAGAGGACAAAAGGGGGTCCTCACAACAGGTGGTAAGATGGGAGTATAAGTCAGAATCTGCTCGAGCAAATTGGTAACGAGGGCTATGAAATGTTTGGGCATACGTAGTAGAAGTAAGAAGGATGGGAAAGTGATCACTATCGTGTAACTCTGAAAGAACAGACCACGTGAAATCGAGTGCAATGGGCGAGGAACAGATAGAAAGATCAATGCAGGAGAGAGACCGAGTACAAGAGTCAAAATGGGTAGGAGCACCCATGTTTAGAACATGAGGACAAGAAGTGAGAAGTCTCTCCAACTAATCAACACAAGAGTCGCAGTGGGACTCCCCACAGGTGATGGTGAGTGTTAAAATCACCCAACAACAATATGGGCGGTGGTAGAGATGAAATTATTTTATTTACACCATCGGTGTAAATAAATGTGAGGTGCAGTATAATGCAGTGGGGAACGAACAAAAACTTGTTGATATGGTATATTAACACATACAAGAAGTGTGCTTTCATTAAATGATTTGTCAGGTGAAGGACTGGAAGACTGTAACAGCAAGTAGCCTGAAATGGGGTGAATGACAGCAGAACGAATTTTGGGCTCTTTACGCTGTATAGCCCTTGTGGCTTAGCGCTTCTTTTTTATTATAATAATAATTTGGGCTCTTTCAACCCAACACATACTGGGGACAACTGAGAGAGCAACAATTGGAGTTCTCGATTGCTCCTAAGGCCACGAATATTCCATTGTAAGAAAGACATTATGTACAAAAATAAAAATGATAAGAAATGATGAAACCTATGGGCTTCTAGGATCAGTAAAGTTAACGTGTGGGGGCAATGGTAAACGTGTAAGGAAGAATTAGAATATTGTGGAGGAATAAATTGTTGCATGGGTCGTGAAATAAAAGGGGTAGGAGGAGGTGTGTTGGTGTCCAATGGGGGTGTCGTCTCTGCTATATAGCTGGAGATAGCGTCCAACGTCTCAGTTGATAAGGAAGCCGACGATGCCATGATGTCAGAGACAGGAGAGGCATTGCAAGTAAAGGTCGGAATAACCATGGAGGCAACCAAAGAGGTCTGAGGAGGGTGGGGAATGTGAGCCTGGAGAGATGAGTTGGCTGGGGGAGAAGAGTCCTGCAGTGTAACAGGAGAGGAAGGAGGTTGGAGGGTAACAGATGGAGAGGGAACTAAACTAGGGGGGGGTGAACCTCTACCTTTGTGTGAGAGCTGGAAAGGGGGTGAGAATTAGTCTCTGAGGTAGAA